GAAGAGAGCCAGCAGCGGCTGCGGGACTCCCAGGCCATGCTGGAGACCCCCTGGTCCCAGAGCCACTCAAGGACATGCACGCACGGTGTCCTGTCTCTGCTTCTAACTGGTTGTCACCCGAGACTAACTATGAGGACCTCAGGCAGTCACGGCAACTGGGAAGAGGTTTACAGTGTCACAAGCAGCCTGGAGACGCCACACAGCCATGCTCACCTCTTTTTTTTTTCTCCAATGCAAGAACCAGGGGCATCCCATGCAAAGAGCAGTGAGCAGGGGGAAGCAAAGGGTGGTGCTGCCTCGTTCAGTCTGTGGGCAATCCTGGGCACTTCTCACCACAGGGTGCTGCAAATGCTAAAATCTTACCTGAATTCAGAGAAACCAGAGACATTCAGAGATTAAAAAAATCATCACGCACTACTCAGTGCAATGGCTGTCCTGCAAAGGGATGCCCGGGCCGCCCACAGCAGAGTGGGGAGGGTGTGCTGGGGGCTGGGCACTCCCCAGGCACCTGCCCTGGCCGCGCACCTCCCTGCTGGGAGGAAGGCCTCTCCTCGGCATCACAGCGAAGTGCAGCTCCGAAGCAGCAAACCTGTACACTGGTCTCCCCAGTGCAGATCCCCCATGCTCTGCCCCATCCCCGTGTGTTCTCTCTGGCTGCTCTTGCTCAGCGATTAGGAAAGCCAAGCATGTTCCTGCCCAGGCACACCACCCCCAGGACACCCTGCATCCCACCCATCTCTCAACCCCTTCCCTCCCGGGGGACACCAGAGCAAGCAGGGGCAAACGGGAACGGCTGCTAATTCCTCCCAGCCCAGCACAGCCATAGCCCTCCAGGGATCAGCCCCGCAGCGATGGAGGGAGCCAACTCCTGCCTGTGAGCCAGCTGCACCAGCCTGGCCCCAGGAACATGGGCGGCTGTATTTTCCTTGCAAATTAGAAATCAATCACAGCAGGAAATTCCCGTGCTGAGAACACCCTGGCTGTTATTATTTTATAGCACTCGGAGGTGTTCTGGGCACTTAGAAAGACGTGGCGCTTTCGGGGTATTATGGGGCAAATTAGTTTTAAAGGCGGCTATAGGAATGTTGGCCGTTTGGTTTCCGGAGTGGGACAGGCACAGGTGGAGGCTGTGGGGCTTTGTGCTGCTTTCAGATACACCACCGCTCTGCAAAGAGGGAATCGGCATGCTCCGGAGTGAACACCTCTAGCCTGACCCCAGCTTTATTAATAACAAGTAATTAATATGAGAGCGGATGTGCCTTGTGTCTCTGAAGACCTTTTAAGATGTGATTATGTTGTGCTAATCTCACCCCAAAGTACTTCCCTGTTTAGACTGTGCTGGGCCATTAAATATCTGAAAAGCCAGCAGAGACCCCCCCTCGCCGCCCTGGGAAGTGCTCGGGGTCTGTTCCCCGGCAGCCAGGCCCCGCTTTCAAACCCTCTAAATCAAGTATTAAGTCAAGCCCATCTGGACTGCCAGGAAAAACACTCCCTCCTCCTCATCTGCCTCTCATTACCTGCCATGCCAGCCCCGGCCCCGAGCCGCTCGCTCCATCCCGCCCAGATGTGCTGCCCCGCGCTCGCCTCCCGTATTTCACAGCCGTCAGCAGGACTTCAAGGAGCAGCCGAAGGGCCTGTAACACTGCACAGGCTCTTAGCAAAGACATATATCCAGGTCCTTAACGTATAGCCACAGGCACATACCCTAACACAAAGCCCCTTTCCCCCTCCCTTGGTCTTGCACCAGGCAGGGGAGCTGGGGCGCTTGGGGCTCCCTGGCCAGGAGGTTTCTGAGCCACTTCCCCAGCACATGTCCAGACTATTCTCAGGGGTTCTCCCCACTGAGACCTCCCAAAGCCAGGCAGCCCCTACACCCTTTGGGAGGGGCACCCAAAGGCAGGGTGGGACCGAACAGGCGCTGGCGGCAAAGGCGAGGAGTTGAAGACAAACACCTGCAACCCTGCAGTAACCGGGGTGACTAAGTTTGGGAGCAGCTCGCCTGGCACAGGGCAAAGTCAGCACTGAGCCTAGAGAAAATAGGTACCCAAAGACCCAAACCAAGGAACAACCCCTGTGTTCATCCGCTCAAAAATCTCCTGGCCTAAAGCTTTCTAGTGAAAGTTTCAGCATTTCCAGAAAACCCACAGAAACAGCTGCTTTTGTTTAAGTTTGGCACTTTCCTGGCCCTGGCAGCAGCCCAGGACTGCAGAGGTGAAGGCGCACATCAAACCTGCATTTAGGAGGAGAGGAGAGGAGAGGAGAGGAGAGGAGAAAAAAGGAGAGGAGAGGAGAAAAAAGGGAAGAGGAAGCTCCTCCTGAGCTTCAGAAGAGCTGGTGCTCAGCCTGCAGTCGGGCTCGGTGTCAGGTGAAGTTATGGTATGAGCACCACATGGCTGGTCACGCTCAAACATTACTCTTCCAGAGAGGCCAGGGCAGGCAGCATCGCAAAGAGGTTTTGGGGGCACGAGATTTAAGTGAGGGGAAGAAAAGTATGTCTGTTGTCTCCCTGTGTCGCTGCCTGCAGGAGGGTGTGCAGCCCGGGTCCTGCGCTGGTCCCTGATGGCCAGCACTGACTGGGGACCCCAGCCTCCACTGGGGACCCCACGCTCCAGCAAGAAGCAGGAATTCCTTGCAGCAGGTCACAGAGAGGAAAGCCCTGGGAAGAAAATACTCTGCTTGCCAGCCCTTCAGTGCACGGCAGAGATGCAGGGGAGGGTTTAATATCGGTGAGGAGGAAAGGGGGAAAGAGAGGGGAAGAGGTCACAGTGTTATGACAGACGTACAGGCACTGACACATTGCGTAACACAACGCAGGGCCTAAGTCCACAACCCGTAACGCAATGCGAGGAAGAAGCCTGGGCGCGGGGCAGGAAGCCTTAGGAAGTCCTTCCCCAAGGACTGCTTGCACCCTGCAGGTACCTGCCAGGGATGGGGAGGAGATGCAGGCAGGAGCCCCAACCAGACCCTGCAAGCAAGAGCGGGCCGTGCCCGAGGTCCAGCGAGGTACAGGGTCTCCGGCATTTCGGTGCGGTGCCTCCAGGGCCACTGGTCGTCCTCTCTGCTCCTGGTGGCCCTGGGCAGGCGGTGGCAGCCACCGCCTGTGTCGGGATGCCATCTAGTGTCGCTTGGCAGAAGGGCCCGTCAGGCAGTGACACTGTGCATAGGCTCCCCAGGCTCACAGCATCTCCAGGGGCCAGCTGGGAGGCACCCCAAAACAGCCTGGGTGCTGGGACAACCACCCCTGGGGGACTGCACCCCACTGGTGCTGGTCCGCACCCCATGACATACGCACCCCGTCGCCAGCACAGCTCCAGACCCCAAAGGAGGGCGATGGGCATTGCCCAGGTCATGCAGCGGCGGTGAAGCTCAAAGCAGTGCCCAGGCTTGCTCAGGGGACCCCGGAGCAGCCAGGGCTTGGAGACTCAGCAGCCTCACCGGCAGCATGGGGTGGCCCTGGCGTCGGGTGGCTTGGTGAAGGAGAAGGGCGAGCATCCCCCATAGCAGCGTGCAGCCCACCTGCAGCACCAGTGCGGCCAGGCCCAGGGCCAGGGAGACCCAGCAGTGCCGCGGGCTGGACCGCAGGGCAAAGCCCCAGGCGTGACGGCCGCTGGGAGCCAGGGGTGGGGAGGCCAGCCAGGGGCTCGTATGGTCCAGCAGTGGGGGGACAGGAGGTGTTAGGAGCAGGATGGTGCCTGCAGGAGTGGGAGCATGTTGGAGGGCAGTAGGAGTGGGCTGGGTGCCACTTGTGGACAAGCCCCACACAGTGGCATGGTCCCGCTCCGCATCTGGCACAGGAGCATCGTGGGACAGGGAGTGTGAGGTCAGTGGGACCATGCCTGCTGCAGGAGTCCTGAGGGGTGGCCAGAGTGCCATGGGAGGGGCTGAGACAAGGGAGATGGTGGGTGTCCCCCATGGGATGGTGGCTGGCCTCTCCGTGGGCACCAGAAGAGCAGGAGGCACTTGTCTGGTAGTGGCTGCCAGCAGGCTGGTTGGCACTGGTGCGGTAGCAGAAGCTAGAGTGGACAGTGCAGGCTCTGGGCTGTTGGCCCCAGGAGGCTGTAGGCTTATGATGGATGGAGCTGCACACAGGCTGAAGGCCTCCTGTGGCATAGCTGGCAATGGGGTGGTGGTGGAAGCCTTGGGCAGCACAGTTGGTGATGGGGTGGCAATGGAGGCCTTTGGCAGCACAGTTGGTGATGGGGTGGCAATGGAGGTCTCGGGCAGCACAGTTGGTGACAGGGTGGTGACGGAGACCTTTGGTAGCACAGCTGATGAGGGGATGGTGACGAAGGCCTTTGGCAGCATGGTTGATGATGGTGTGGTGATGGAGGTCTTCGGCAGCACAGTTGGGAATGGGGTGGTGATGGAGGTCTTTGGCAGCACGGCTGATGATGGTGTGGTGATGGAGGTCTTCGGCAGCACAGCTGGGGATGGGGTGGCAATGGAGGCCTTTGGCAGCATGGTTGGTGATGGTGTGGTGATGGAGGTCTCGGGCAGCACAGTTGGTGACGGGGTGGTGATGGAGGTCTTCATCAGCACAGTTGGTGATGGGGTGGTAATGGAGGCCTTTGGCAGCATGGTTGGTGATGGTGTGGTGATGGAGGTCTCGGGCAGCACAGTTGGTGACGGGGTGGTGATGGAGGTCTTCATCAGCACAGTTGGTGATGGGGTGGTAATGGAGGCCTTTGGCAGCATGGTTGATGATGGTGTGGTGATGGAGGTCTTTGGTAGCACAGCTGATGATGGGGTGGGGACGAAGTCCTTAGATGGCACGGTGGCTGATGGAGTGGTGAAGAAGGCCTCTGTTGGCATGGTTAGCAACATGGTAGAGGTGGCCACAGGTGACAGCATGGTTGGCATTGCCATGATGGGCAAGGCTGCCGATGACAGCATGGTTGACATCCCTTGAGATGATGTGATGGTGAATGGCAAAGATGGGGTAAAAGAACCTGAAAGAGGCAGAGTAGCAGGGCAAATTAAGTCGTCGTCCCTCAGTGATGTCACTGCTTGCCCTGCCAGGTGGGGTGGACTCTTGCATGACACTTGGGTGGACAATTTGACCTTCTCACTGTTGCTCAGGATCCAGCTGCGCAGGTAGCAGAGGCTGCAGTCACATCTCCATGGGTTCCCACTCAGATACACCGAGCTGAGCTTCTTCAGGGGGTCCAGGAGACCTCGGGGGACACTCTCCAGCTGGTTCTTCTGAAGGTTGAGGGTTTTCAGATTTGGCAGAGAAGCAAAGACCTCATCATCCAGAGCAGAGAGCTGATTTGTGTCCAGCTGGAGGTCCGAGAGCTTGCTGAGCCCAGTGAAAGCTCCTCTTGGTAGGGCTGCTAGCTGGTTGTGGGACAAGATTAGTTTGCCAAGAGATGTGAGGTTGACAAAGATGCCATCTGGAAGTGTGGCCAGACTGTTCCTGCCCAGGTCCAGCTCCCGCAGGTGTGGCATGGTGTCAAAAAGGCAGCACGGGAGCTCTGTAATGTGGTTTGAACCCAGAGTCAGCAGCTTCAATTTGTTTAAACCAAAAAAACCCTGAGGTGGGAGAACCCCAATGAGGTTGTTGTCCAAGAGGAGTTTCTCCAGGTGAGACAGGCTCCTCAGGAGCATGGGTGGCAGTGCCCTGAGCCTGTTCCTCTGGAGGCTGAGCTCCAGCAGCCCCAGCTGACTGTCTAGCAGCCCCTCTGGGAGGTCCTGCAATTCATTCTCATACAGCCGGAGGACTTGCAGCCGGGGCAGTTTGCTAAAGGCATCCCCAGGAAGAGTTGTGATCCTGTTTCTAGCCAGGTCCAAAAACGTTAGATTGACAAGAGAATCAAAAACACCTTCTGGAAGAGAAGGAATTGCATTGATGTACAGCGAGAGCTCTTCCAAATTTTCCAGCCCATCAAACAAGCCTTTGGGGATGTATTTGAGGTGGCTCTCTCTCAGCTCCAGCCTCTTCAGGCTTGGGAGGTTTTGGAAAGTGCCCACAGCTAGTTCTTCTAAGGAGGCACCAGATATCTCCAAGTCCTTCAGCTTCTCCAAACTATCAAAGGCTCCAGGTTCAACTGTCTTGATCTTGTTGCCAATAAACAAAATCTTCGTCAGGTTGGGCATGTACCTGAAGGCACCTTTCCTTATAGCAGTGATGCTGGTTTGCACAAAGATCATCTCAGAAATTAAGGGCTTTGCAACCTTTGGGATCTCTTTGACGTCATTTTTTGCCCCTCTGTAGACCTCCTGGTAGTCTTCAGGCATTTCATACAGATCTTCACCCAGGATTTGATCTTGGCATTTATGGGAATGGAAGGAGAGGAAGAAAAGGAAAAGGAAATGCTGGTACATTGTCCTGAAAAAAAGGTTTCAAAAATCAGTTATGAAGAACAAAAAAAATCTCTGTTCACAGCTTATGAACTGTGGTACCACGCTGTCGTTCAGCTCTGCGGACTCTTCTATTCACACATCATAACTCATTTTATGAGAGAGACTGTACAAGCCAATGTATGCTGCATTTACAAGAGTTCACTGCCCTTGGTACGGGGGGATGGAGAGGAAGGGAGAGTGAGCCAACTCATCGCCTGGCACTGGGAGACGCTCCAGGAGGGGCAAGGGCTGGGCGGTCTGTTCTCTGACCATCCTTCTCCCACGTTTGGGCTGTAGGCTCGGCATTTGTCTGGGTGAAGAAGGTGAAGTGCTGCTGCCCATTAGCACTGCCCCAGTGGGTCCAGTTACTCAGCAGGGCAATAGCCCATTCATGCAACAACAGAAGCACTCAGCCCTGCGCTTGGTAATGAGGGACCACAAAGGGTCCCAGGAGCCAGCCAAGACCAGCTGACCTTGTTTACACAGAATTTCCACGCTGTGCTGGATGAACTTGCTGTTTCACTGGTGCTTCTCTCAGTTCAGGGGAGTCATTTAAAACATTGCTTCTAAGCATCTCCTTTTTAGGAGTCTTGCTAATTGCATCATATTTTGGCCTTGGTCATGCAGCTCTGTCAGACAGAAATGGTTAACTTGTGAGCACCAACCAAGCTTTAGAGCAAGGCTTGTTAAAAGACTATGAAATGTCCACAGATGAACTCTTTAATACACGACATTTAGGGCTCTGGCCTGCAGTTAGGAAGTAAAGTCACTGATGCACGCCCACCAGTAGCCACGTAAAGCCCACCACTTCCATCGAGTCATTTGGAAACAGTCAGCTAACACATTGGCTGGGGTTTAACAGCCGTGAGCATCGTACTGGGACAGTAGTTTCCAGCTTGTGATTCACAGCCCTGGGTGGGAGGCAGGGGAAAGGGCTGTGGGTTGCTTCTTGGGTGTCCATCAAAGCTGACCATGCAAAAAAACTTATGCTGGGAGGGTAAATTTGCTATGAAAAGTTATTTTTTGAAAAAATGTTGAGAGGTCAGCAAATACAGGAAGCTAAAAGCCACTGGGTTTGAAGAGAAATCGATGGGAGGTGAGGTATGTGCCAGCTGCCCCATGGGGCTCCCCAGGGCAGAAGCTGCTGCTGATCCCTGCCCATCCTCTCCTCCGGGGACTCGGGTGCAGGAGCTGGGGCGTGGGTGCAGAAGTGCCTGCTTCACTTCAGCTGCAGGGGCAGCGCAATGGGTTCAATGCGCAGGTGGGAATGGCTGGGCTGCATGCACGGGGATGAAATCTAACAGTTTTGAACTGCAAAGCTCTTTTAAAACCCTCTCTCACCCCATCCGGCTGCAGTGGACCTCAGTGTGGTCCCCTGCTTGTCCCACCCTCCATCAGCACAGGGACACAGAGGGACGCTCCCAGCTCAGGCACTGCAGCCTCTCCTGGCTCCTTGCTGCAAGGAAACGATCAACAGCCCCCCAGAGCCGCCCCTCCTGGCACATTTTAAAGAGCAAAAAAAAGCATTTTGCGTCACTTACTTGGCCGAGCGCTTGCAAACGAGTCCAGCTGCCGGAGCGAGCCGTGCTGTGCGAGGAGCGAGGCCACCAGACCGGACAGGGGTCCCATCACCTGGCCAGGTCTTTATCCATGGCCCAGGCGCAGGGCTTGGTTTCGCGTGAGGTCAGGGTGCAGGGCTGCGAGGGGAGATAAGGGACGGCCGGGGAGCGGGCAGCAGAGCTGTGCCCCAGCGTGGGAGGCCGTTTGCAGAACCGCCTCGGAGAGGACACAGACACGTACTCCTTAGGCATTATCTGCTGGTGCCACTTGACTAGTCACATCCAGGGAAACCTGAAGGCCTCCAGGCCAGCCTGTTTTGCAGCTGAAGCTCTGTAGTCCCGTATCTCCACCAGTGTAACCCAGCAGCTTCACAGGCACCACCCCCACCGAGACAACAGAAAGGAACTCTTCCTATTTAAAGCATTTCCTCTTAAAAATATCCAGCTGTTTCCTTCCTCAGGAATTGGCTTATGTAGCTAAAGGTGCTGCTCTGAAACCATTTGTTTAAGCTTCTAACAGTGATGAGTTCTGTGGCTGGACAGATACGCTGACATCCCGGCTCTGGGCTCGGCCCCGTAGCCCCACACCTCGCCGGCCGCAGGGCTGGGGCTGAGCGTTGTGCTCCCCTCCACCCTTAGCACAAGCCAAAGACCCTCCTGCGGTGACACCCAGGGTTCTTGGCCGGTGTGGGGCATCTTGTGGGAAGGAAGAAACCCTCTGTTGGATGCAAAGCCTTAAAAAGACAAGGCATCCATTGCTTCCCACCGGATAATTGCACTAGTTGCATTTAAGCATTTCTTCTTCCGTTTTCATCTGCTCGGATTAAGGTTCAGCTTGTGTTCCTGGCCTTTCCTGGCAAATTTAGAAACACTCCGAACTATTGCACATTTTCAACAGCCTTATCCCTTTCCAACATCATCCCTGTATGCATCCCCCCTTGGTACCAGGCTGCTCCAGAGGCTATAGGGTGGCAGAGCCAGGGTGCACGACAGGACGGCGCTTGCAGCAGGAGTGACACCAGCCTCCCTGGGCCGTGGACAACACACACCCCACGGTGTGCAGCTGTGCCGGGGCTGGGGAGCTGCAGCCAGCCCCAGCCTCCCTGGTCCAGGCTTGGAGGCGGCCACGCCAGCATCACCTGGGAGATGGCGGCAGGAGGGTGGCTGTGTGGGATCGAGTCCGGGGGTGCAGCACCGCCCGCCTGCCTCCCAGGAGCTATCACAGCACGGAGCCTCCGCTTCGCTCCCAGCCCTCCGGCTGGGCAGCAGCGGGCAAGGGGCTGGCAGAGCCGCACAGCCCGACAGCCAGACCAGGGCAGCCCCAAGCAAGGACCCCAGCTCCCCAGCTGCCGCCTGGCTCAGAGCGGGGTGGCCAGGCGCAGGCAGGGCTCCCCCAGCGCTGCCTGGCCCAGCAGAGCCCGGCCGCAAGCCCCGGGCTGGGCGCCGCCGGGAGAGCCGCGGGGCGGGCAGGCGGCGGGCTGCAGCCTGCGGGGCGTGCGCCTTGCACACCCGCCCACGTGCCTGCACCCACCAACACACGCGCGCACGCGCCCACGCACACGCGGGTGCATGCACACGCACTGGCTCTCTTAGGGGAGCAGCCGCCTTACCTGCCATCCCCTGGGCGGGCGGCTCTGCTGGGACTTTGCGCCCCATCTCCGCGGGTCCCCGGGCCTCTCTGGGGCAGACGCAGGGTCCCATGGTGGGGCTGTGGGCCAAGCCCTGCCAGGGTCGGGGGGGAACCTGCTGGTGCACAGCCCTGGGCTGGAGCCCGCCATGCAGCCAGTGCCCCTTGCCGGGCAGCAGGCAGCACTTGCCCACATCTCCCTCGGACACCCCGCACCAAACCTGTACCCTGGGGGCTGGGGCCAGGCTGTAGCTGGGTCTCTGCACTGCCAAGGGGGGGGGGGAAGGAGGAGGGGCTGGAGAGCTGCAGCAGGCAGAGATGAGCATGCCAGAGAGCAGCATCTACTCAAGACCCGGCATCTGCACCCATGGGACACCACGCACAGCCCCAGCCAAGTCCCCATTGCATCACAGTGACCTTCGCTTCCCCCAAATACACAGACGGGCGGGGGACGGGGGAAGAGTTTCCTCTCTCCACCATGGGAACTGGTTGCACAGAAATAATATATACATTTTAATCATACTTGAAATGCACAGGAAACACATAGCTGGGTGAATAAATACCACCAGGCCAGCTCTTGCGGAGAGCTGGGTGACAGCTGGCGATCGTGGTAGGGATAGCAGAGCGAGACAGAATGCCAGTTCCCAGGCTGGTTTGGAGGTTGCCAGTGCAAGAGGAGAGCAGAAGCGGGCACCTGCCCAAGCTCTAGGGCGCAGGGGGGAGACTTGGCAACATGGCCTCATCCCCGCTCTGCACCGTGACGAGGACGCTGACCTGCAGTGTGCCGCAGCGGGAGCGCAGCACCCAGGCGCCCTGGTACGTCAGCCCCGGCCCCACCACCTGCCCGGGAGGAGGAAGAGGAAGGAGGTGAAGGCTGAGCCGCTGGCAGCTCGTGGCATCACAGGCCATGCTTATGGTGCCCTCGAGGTTGCTGTAGGTACACTGCCCTGGAGCATCTTCCCCCGGCACCCCATCCCAGCCCTCCTCCGGGGGGATGCTGGGATCTCCTGGGCACTCCAACCGCACCTTGGAGACCTCCAGCAGGGACCGTCCCTGGAGGGCGGCCGGGCTGGTGCAGGAGGCTTGCACGTGGGTGAGGGGTTCATCAAAGCCCTGCAGCCAGCCCAGGAGATAGGCCAGGCGGCAGTCGCAGGCCCAGGGGTTGTCAGCCAGCCCCACGCTCCCCAGCTCCTCGTTGGCATCGAAGAGCCCCGGGGGCAGGTGGTCCAGGTGGTTGTGGTCCAGCGCCAGGGAGGTCAGGAGGGGCAGCCCGGCCAGCAGCCGAGCCGGCAGGCTGGAGAGGTTGTTGTGGCTCAGCTGCAGCGCCACCAGCTCCGCCAGCCCCTGGAAAACCCCGGCGGGGAGATGGACCATGGCGTTGTGCGAGAGCGCCAGGGTCTGCAGCGCCGACAGGTTGGCAAAAAGTCCCTGGGGCAGCGTCTCCAGCCGGTTGCGGGCCAGCGAGAGGTGGAGGAGGTGAGGGGTGCTGGCAAGGAGGGCAGCAGGCAGGGTGGCCAGGCGGTTGCCCTCCAGGCTGAGGACAGTGAGGTTGGGGAGACCAGCGAAGATGTCGGGGGCCAGGCTGCCCAGGGCGTTGTGCTGCAGCTGCAGCCGCCGCAGCCCCCCCAGCCCAGCGAAGGTACCAGCCGGCAGCTCCTCCAGCCGGTTACCATCCAGGTGGAGCTCGGCCAGCTGGCCCAGTGCCCTGAAAGCACCGGGGGGCACCCGCGACAGCAGGTTGTCGCTGAGCTTGAGGAGGCGGAGGGCAGCAAGGGGGGCCAGCAGCCCGGCTGGCAGCTCGGCCAGGACGTTCTGTGAGAGGTCCAGGGTCTGGAGGCGCCGGAGTGGGCGGAAGATGCTGGGGGGCAGCGCCTCGATCTTGTTTCCTGGCAAGCGCAGGTCCTGCAGGCGGCAGGCGGCGGCAAAGAACCCCAGCGGCAGGGAGCGGATGGCGTTGGCACCCAGAGAGAGCTTGCTGAGGCTGGGCAGCCCCACCAGCACCCCCGGGCTGACCGCAGGCAAGGGGTTGCCCGACACCTCCAGCTCGGTGAGGCTGGGCAGCTCCCGAAAGGCACCGGCCTCCAGATCCTCGATGTCGTTGTTGAGGAAGACCAGCTTGGTGAGGGTGGTGCTGGAGCCCAGGGCCCCGCTGCGGATGCTGCTCAGGGCCGTCTCCACGAAGAAGAGCTGGGTGGCGTTCCCTGGCAGGCCTGCCGGGATCTCCCGCATCCTCTCCTCCGAGCAGAAGACTTTGGAGGTGTCGTAGCACTGGCAGGCGGGGGGGCAGGGCAGGGGCAGCCCCCCCACCAGCAGGGACCCCAGCCCCAGCAGGACATAGACCACCAACCTGTACTGGAGAAGGAGCCGAGCCTCATCCCCTGCCTTGGCAGGGCAGAAATCTGCACCCACAGGTGGCTGCTGCTGGGGAAGCTGCTTTTGCAGCCAGAAATGCAGGGGAACAAGCCCTGGGGCACTGCCAGCATGGGCAGCTGCCCCGGCCATGGGGCATCCCTCCAGCTCCGGACCCCTGCACCATCCCAGCGCTCCCCTTGTGGGAACAGGGAGCACTTCCCTCCCAAATCTCTCCCCGCCTGCCCCGTGTGGTGAGTTGGGGCTCTTCCCCTGCACTCAGCCCTGCTCCAGCCTGCCCTTTGACAACCAGGGTGATGCCACCCTCGCCAACACTCCCCACGTCCTGCAGAGCAGCAGCCAAGGTGGGAGCTGTGGGGTCCTGCGGGGGTCTCAGGGGAACCCACAGCCTCATGAGATGTCCCTGTGCTCACGGACCTGGCCACTGGGGCAGGACAATGCGTGAAGCACAGGGATGTGCTGCACACACTGGGTGATGGGGACAACGCTGCAGGGCGGCTCTACATTCAGTGACAAAAGAAGCGGGCTCCACTGGTTGTATTTCTAATTGCCCATCAGCGGTCGAGAGCAGCGTTGAGCTTGGTTTTTGCTTTCCACCATCTTGCTTGTTTTCATGCAGAGCCAACAGCAACTCCCAACTGTCCCAGGCCCCCCCCAAACCACCCAAGCCGTGTGGCCGCCACTTACCAAGCATGGCATCATGGGGACCACCACCAAGCCTGCAGCAGGTTTGCAGGGACGCTGCTCGCTGAGATGGGACGATGTTTTCTGAGGCGGATGGGAAGCCAGCTGATGAGCCGTTCCTGCTGGGGCGGAGCTGCCCCTCGCTGCTTATCGGCGACAACAACCCGTGTCCTTGGAACGCTTCGAAAAACAACCTGACCCCAGAGGGACTGGAGGTGAGGCCAGAAGCAGCTGCCAGAGCATCCTGGCAAGGAAGCGGGGTCCTGGCCCCGGACGTCCATTGGCCCTGGGATGGTGGCAGGGCACTGCTGTCACGGGTGGCACCGGTCCCACACTGAGATCAGCACATTTGCTTGAAGCAGCCCCCCTGGATTAAATCTCAGTGGGGAATGGGGCTAGCAAACGTCCCTTGCATGAGAGGGAACCAGGCACAGCATAGCAAGGCAAAGCAATGCCATGGGGTGGGGACCACCCTGGGGCCATCATGTTGAGATGCACAAGGCGCTTTGTGGCCTGGGACACACACCCAGCCAGCAGTGGGATGGCCAAAGGGACCCACGGACCAGCTGGACTCCCAGGGAGCTTGCGGCTTGCCCGGGGGAGCAGCATACACCACCTTAAGGGCTGCCCTGCAAGGGCCTGTGTTGGAACGGCTGGGGTGGCAGCGGCCATGGGGGCACCCCCAGGGGCCCAAGCAGGGACACATACGTGCATTCAGCCAGACCGACGGAGCAGACGGTGATGCACAGAGAACCTCAGCTGATACAAGCCAGCTCTGAAGGGAGCCACGTGAGCTCCCCCCCACCCTGGGTGGAGCTGGAGAAACCCTCAGGGCCCTGCCCCAGGGAGAGGACTGCACAGGAGGCAGTCAGTGTCTCCATGGAGAAGCTCACCCAGGTCCAGCTCACTCTCCAAAAGCCATCCTGCTGCTGTTGGATGGCTGAGCCCTCCTGGATCCCTCACTCCAGGTCAGAGCCCAGGCCAGTGCGGGCTCTGCAGCACAGCCCACAACCCTCTCCCAGCCCCACCAGCCTGTATGGGCTTTTCCTCAACATGAAAAATATCTCTTAGCAGATGAAATCAAGCGCAGCTTCTGTCCCTGCTGGGTCATTCCCCGGCTACGCACCGTGGTGGAGTGAACGAACAGTTCTTGGCACTGGGGGTGGACAACTGTGCTTTAATGGAGAAGTCACAGAGCAGCACCCAACAGCCCCGCGGCACAGTCCCGTCTCTCCCACCACCATGCAGGTCCCAGCCCGGAGGAGCATCCCATCACGTGCACGAGTGTGGGGCTGCTTGCGCCAGCACTGGCTCCTGGGGCACTGCGAGCAGCCAGCACCATGGGGTGCACACCAAGTGTGAGCCTTGTCCCATGGCAGCGATCCCCAGGCAGGCTGGTGCTGCCACACTGTGCACAGAGGTGAGCTGGACTCTTCTGTGGCTGTGCCACGGCTGGAGGAGTCACTGGACACAGGTGCTGGGGGACTGTGTGGCCCCTGCCCGCAATTTGCAGAGCAGCCAGTGCTTGCTGACCCCAGCATCCCCGCTGCCTGAGGGCTGCGAGCGGGCAGCAGGACCGGGCATGGGGGACACTCGGGGTGAGAAGAGGAAGAAGAGAGGGGAGGAGAGGATGTAGCTTTGCCAGGCAGAGCAGGGCCAGGCTGCTCAGTAGCTGTCAGGGTACACACGAGGGTGTTAAGGCAGAGAGAACCAGGGACAGGGTGCAGCAGGAGCAGCCCAAGCATGCTCTGGCAGCCCCGGGGCACAAGTGCAGGAGCCTCTCCCAGCCCCTGGCAGGCAGCCCTCGCAGGGGAAGGGGTGGCCAGCATGGCCAGGCAGTGGGGCCAGCTCTGTGCATGTCTCGCACCCCACCTCTATAATTCCCCTGCAGCAGGGGCTGGTGTGAGCCCCCCGGCCACCTGCAGGGTTGGGGCAGGGGGCTGCAGGCAGGGGCAGGGCTGCAGGAGGGTTAGCACCAGTGTGAGGCGAGGGCTCGGGGGATCTGATGCTGATCAGATCACGTGCCCAGACGCCAGCACGTGGACCCATGGCTCTCCTGGCAGGAGATGCACAAGCGCAAGGGGAGCAGGAGGTTGCTTGGGGTGAGGGAAGATGCTGGCTGTGCTCTGGCCCGCGCTGCCTGCAGGCAGGGAGGGCAGCTTGGACGCGGCCAAGTCACTCGGGGTGTGCCACCCTAGCAGCAGCGCCAGGCCCAGGCAGCCCAGCCCTGCGGGGATCCCCACCCGGGTGCAGGCAAGCTACAAAGCAGCACAAGGACACGCAGCTCTGCTAGGGGCGAAGGCGCTTGCTCAGCTCCCAGCCCTGCATGAGGGCTAGCACCTGCCTGCCCAGGCAGGGGCAGAGGCTGAAGGTATGGGGTGGGGGGGAGATGGGGAAGAAGGGCTGGGGGAGGGCAGCAGGCAGTGCAAGGGCAGGCAGCACCGGAGGGGCGATGTGAGGTGAAGGATGGGCAAGTCCTGTTGTTTGGGGTAAGCACCATCATGGCCAGGCTGTGGATCCCGGCTCGAGGGGTCCATCTCAACCCCCTCACACCCTGGCTGCTGCCCTCGGGCAGGGGATGGGCACAGAGGCTGTGCTGGAGGCAGGAGGGGCTGGGGACAGAGGGCAGCCATGGGAGGTCACCTGGGGGGATGCCCTGCTGCAGAGCAGGGACAGGGCAAAGCAGAGCAGGACAGGGGGACACGCAGCACGCGTGGGGTGATGCCAGCCTGTCCAAATCAGCAAGGGCAGCTGATGCAGAGCTGTTGTGTCCCTCGGCCCTGTGGGGAGGGGACGTCCCGACAGCACCGCTCCCCCCAGCATCTACCAGGTGCTCAGGCTTCATTAGGTGCCTTCATCCTCATGAGCACGACATGGCTCTTCTTCCTACAGCCATAGACCACCAGTGCCACGAGAGCAGCGAGCAGGGCCACGCACACCAGCACAATGACCGCCACCACCACCCCACTCTGCATGCGCGTCAGCCCCCACCGCCCCCTCTCCTCCTCCTCTTCCTCCATCTCCTCCTCCCGCGGGGAGACTGGCAGCCCCATGGGGG